AAGATGACATACATGCAAGCTGCTCATGGGGCTGGATGGGAGGGCGCGCATTTGCGCTTGGACCACCGCAGGGCATGCGGCGAAGATGATCAGCGAGATGGTATGAAGCATGCACATGGCGATGGTCTTCAACAGCAGCGTGACAGCGAACGTCCTTAGCTCTTCCAAGCGCTCGTCTCGCTCTCGATCGCAGCGTCCATCACGCTACAACGTCTGCTTGAAGTCGCCTCACGCTTGACCTGGACACACGACTCTCGCAAAGTCAATAACTTTCGACAAATCGCATCCTTCCAAGCATGTCCGCATCTGAAGCGCGCGACATTCAACAGGCCGCGCCCGATGATGGTGGCATTGGTCAAGACCTTCCTCAACCAGACACTCATGCAGCGAGCGACGTGAAGGGCAAAGGAAAAGGCAAGGCTGCAGAGGTGGTCGGTGAGTGTGCAGCGTTCGTATTGTAGGGCTTGAACGCTTGAACGCAAGGGCCGTCACGAATCATCGCGCATTGTGGCGTGCGTGAAGCTTTTGAGTCAAAGTTTGGGCGTGCAGTTCGAGTACGCTGTCATTAAGCAAGCGGGTCAGCGGCTCTTTGCCGGCATGAAGTGTCGAGGTCAATGCTCATCCTATGCCATTGCGAGACGGACCACTGACGCCTCAGCATCTCTCTCCATCACCTGTGCATGTGCAGAAGAGGAGGAGGATGACGATGACGATGAAGAGAACGAGTCTGGTGAGGAGGATGAAGATGACGAGGATGGTGATGTGAGTATGAGCTTCTGCTACGCATACCTGCGTGCCTTACTCGCTTTCATGATGCACGTTCATCAGCCTCGATTGCTGCTCACTTTGGCATCGCTATTCGCCCAAATAGGAGACCAACCCTCTAGAAGGCTTGGACCAATCCGCCATCATGTGGACCGGAGCTAGAGGAACACGTCGTGCTGCGCAGAAAGAGATCGACTACTCTTCCGAGGAGGCTCAGCGCAAGGCCGGCTTGGCAGGTGGTTCCGCGGAAGAGCAGGAGGAGGATGACGGGGAGTTCAAGGTGAGGCTTGCGTGCTCTCCCTTGACAGCGATGTGCCCGAACGATTGGGGCGCATACAGTCGGAACAGAGCGGAGCACTGACCTTTAGCGCTCCTTTCAAAGGGCGAGGATATGGAGGAGTAAGGCGGGAGGCTGAGGAGAACACACCAACATGCAGGTCCACGTTCGACTAAGTCCCGATTCGCATCGACTGCAAAGAGTACCCGCAGAAGCTGGGACCCTCTCACCACGAGACCAAAGGTCATTCCTCGGTCGATTTGCTGGCTCTTTCCTTGAATGTCAAAGCGCAAGCACATACAAGACTAGCGAGAGCTGGCGTGAACATCATCTGCGCACAGATTGACACCGAAACATGTATCCAGAAACGTCCCACGAATGTACAATGCCTTGTCGCTGATGAGCGCGGGTGATCTAGTGTCCGAGCTTCATCCTCTGCGTCAACCTCGAGGCATATTTGGACAAAGAGGGGACGCGCTGAACCCAAATTTGTCAAGCCAGCTCACGCCCTTGAGCTATTATTATCAGTGCGGACGCTTTCGAACATCTAGAGGTCGCTAGACTAGACCCGGAAGACGTAGAAGCTTGTGCAGTCATGTTTGCCCGCCGCGTCCATTCAGACTCCGCTAGGCCCATCGAGGAAGGCGCTAAGACAGCTGCAGCATGCGAATCCCTGAACCCCACGTTGCTTGGACCGGATTGAAGATGCGCCGAGACTCACGACGGCGACTGAGCTTCGCATGTGATGCGTCTCGTTCACCATTATTCTTCGTT